ATATTGAGAAGACATACTAATGGGAACATTTTTTGTTTGCTTGGTTTTTTGCTTTTGTATGTCCCTTTAAAATATGGTCAGGTGTTCCCTATGCAGGGAGCTGGCACTGGGCATGGAGGTCCTGTAATACCAGACTGTCACTAGGAGGACTAGAGCCAGCCCTGACACCCTCCCCTTGGTGCCAAAAATGCTTGACCATAGCCAAAGTGCTGATGGGAAGGGTGGGTTAGTGCAGCCCACCTGAATAAGAGATATGACAGTGCCCATTGCACTCAGTCCTCCTCAACAGCACTCTTTTTCAAGTCATAGTGAGTCACTACATTAAATAGATTTTGACGACTTCACTCCTATAGCTGAGCTGTGCCTTTCCCATTTCCAATAATTCCTGTTTCTTAACTAGGTTTAAATGCTTGGTAAACATCACCAAACAGGGCCCCAAACAGTTCACCTAGAATCTGTTCACCTAGAATCTCTCCCTTAGCCTGTCACATATGATTAATGTCGCCCAGCCCTCCATGAAATGGAGCCAGACCAGGTTACCCTATCCCTCATCTATATATACATTTTTGAAGGATCCCAGAACCTGTGACAAAAACACCCAGTTCCAGTCATGAGTGGGGTGCTAATTAGCAGATGAAACCTTTGTGGAGATATCTGGAGTTACACACACATACTGAGCAGTGCTGAACTCTCTGGTCACCATGGCTGGAAACACTGTTGACTGCTGGGACTTAGCCCAATGAATTATATGGTAAATCATGAACATCTTAGCTTTGGACTAATATCCTACATAGTTTACACTTTATATAAGTAGGTACAAAAGGGCTGATTAAGTGTGTTTATGGAGTATCTGTGCTAAAATTTGCAGCAATTTCAGAAAAGATAAAATGCAGCCTGATAAATTCTAGATGAATTAATTCTATGGGTGCTCCTAGTAAATTCCCTGTATGTGAATTACTACAGGCATGTTTGTTTCAGTCAGTGTTTTCAAATGTGCTCCTCACTTCTCTGTTATGGTCTGACACAATGGGGGAAGAGGCTGCAGGGAGAAGAAGTTGAGGGAGTAGAGGATAAAGGGGCCACATGACCCCCCCTGCCCCGATTTATTTTTCCTGCTGTAGCAGTGGGAGGGGGCAATTCAAGGCAAACCTCCATTTAGATTATATACCTGGAAAATTATAACAATGTTTTCCATACATAGACTGTAAGGCTCATCTTAAATTCAGGGGTGTTTAGAAACTGGCACAAAATCAGATTTTCAAGATTTTTAGTGGGTACATTAAGCAAATAAGAAGCATCTGGAAGTTGAAAAGTTTTAATCCTTTGTAACAGTGAAATATTGTCAAATTTACACAAACACTTGCACAGGATGGTTTAGAGATGGATATTCATGACTTGATTTGGGGATTGGACTAGGGAACTTCTGAGGTCCCTTCTAGCCCTACTTTTCTATGATTCTGTGCTTCTGTAAGATTTTAGGTTTAAGGCTATTTTAGTTGCAACACATGTTGCGGGGGGAGGCGGGGAAACCTGCATTGTTTCGTCTGAACACCATGTCTAACACCACTCCCCCGCATATTTACTCAAATATAAGACACCCCTGAATTTAAGATGTGCCTTAGAGTCTATGTATGGGGAAAAAAATGTTATACTTTTCCGGGTATATAATCTTGAAAATCTGATTTTATGCCAGTTTCTAAACATTAGATAAACCTATGCTTTGGGTAAAAGGAGGGTATCCTTTGAGCTCCACAGTTTCTAAGAGTGTGGAATAAAAAAATATAGGTCCTATCTGCAGAAAATCAGGATTCACTTGTCTATAATGATCCCCACTGGAGGTGGGAGTTAAAATAAATACCCCATACAGAAGCCCACTTTAAAGGACATTGTCTGTCTGTCTGTCTGTCTTCTCTTTTTGTAGAGTCATTGCGAGTTATTGAAGAGTCAATATGGACTATACTGTTCCATCAGCATCCTTAAGTCACATAACCATTTTTCTCTCTCATCTCTTCCTCCAGGGTTTTTAGGTCATTTTGCTTGCCGTAGTCATTGTCTTAATTTTATGCCTGAGGCTGAAAATGGGTTTTAATTTCCTTGCAGATTTGACTGAATTTAAAAGAAAGACTTAACAAAATACTGTAGGGCATCAACATGCTGTCATTTAAAACCTCTCATGGTTTTGTGGAATCATTTATAACCTCCTAACCCACGTTTTTTGTGAATGACTGGAGTTATGTCTGTTTAATCACAAACACAGTCTGCTGAAAACAAGACCTCAAAACAGAGCAATACAGAGCTTCAGGAAATGCCGATTATGATTTAAATGCCATCTAAACTACATCTTATCTCTGATTTCTCCAATGTAATACCAGCTACCTTCCAGCCCTTGGCACTGCTGGCACATAATGAATAATGAGCTGCATTAAAAGAAGTCTTACTGATTAATAAGAATAGGTGCTTGATAATGCAAGTAGGTAGATGTATTGCAGACCTGGAGCAATATCTACACACTTTTAAACAGATTTTCATGCTTGTTAAACAACCCTCCCAGTCCTAGTGGCATTAAAGTGCTTTAGAGTGCAGCTTTGTTTTTATTTGTAAAAGGTTAATCAAGAAGTAGCTTCAACATTTTTTGTCTCACCTGGGCCATTGACATTTCAATCTCAAGGGAAGGGAAATCAGCTTGCTGTAGTGGTTCCCAAGATTTTTCACACCTCAGGCTTCTCTGGTAACTTGCCAATACATTTCATTTTATATTACTATAAATTCCTTTTTCTCATGATAAATAATTGCATGTAATTATTACCCAGAGCTTATGTGTCTTCCATATGGATATAAATTGCTAATAGCTAGAGTTCGCCAGCAAAACAAAGTAGCTATGGAATAGTTGTATTTTGTTCTTGGGAGAAACTAAACGGATTTATTTAAAGGTTAGAAGCAGGCATAAAAAGAGACTAGAGATTTTTTTAAATGGGCAAACTGAAGAATACACAGTTCTGTGAAAGTAGAAAAAGAGTAAGAAACTGTTGCTTCAAGCTGTGTCTTAGAGCTATGCAAGTAGTATTACTAAATACTATAAACTCTTTGCATTCCTAAAACTCCCTTCACTGTAGCCATTATTTTTCCCTTGGGTTGCATTTTGGGCAAACTAGTTGTAAGCAGAGTTTGCTGCATTTGGCTTATTCATAGTGGATGTCATATCAACCATTGAATAATTTACCCTAGTAAAACTTGAGACACGCAGGCAGTGCTGGGTAAAAGGAAATCTCAACTATGACCTAACCAGCAAGATAAAATAATTATTCAGCCACCCCTTGCAAGAGCTTGGGTCTAAATCCAAGGACACTCTTGCTGTTATAGCTAGGCCTTCCTAATGTGAAGACAGTTATACTGGCATAACCAGGCTTATGGTATTCTGTTCTGTGCCACTTCTGTGAAACTACACAGTCTACATTGGCAGAAGCATAAATATGCTAGTATTGCTGTCTTTGAAGTAGAGTTTTCTGCTAACATAGTTCTGTCAGTAAAAAAAAAAATTGTCCCCCACCAACATATTTATAACAGCAAGAGCTTTTTAGAGTAGGCTTGACCATAAGGTAACTGTGGCCTTATGTGACGTGGGCAGATCTAGGATTTTGAAAGGTGGAAGGGAGGGGTGTAGATGGTGTGGTGCCTCATCAAATGTAACATAACACCCATTTTTCTCCAGTTACAAAAAAATTAAAAGCTTTACTAATAACCTAGGTGGCTGGGATTGTACTATTCAGTTTAAGCAAAAGGAAAAACAAAAACTTTATTGACATATTTTCTATGCCATATGTATAAAAACACAACAAACTAGGCGTAATAATCAAAAGATGTTTCATTAGTTCTGTAGTCATTAGAATTAAATGTACATCTGTCTTTCAGATTCATAAAACACAATCTAGCCATCCCGAGCATCTTGACAGTGTAGCCATGCTTCACTGAACATTATTTCCACACGTGAGTTAATGCTCACTTGAATTAACATTTCCACACTTGAGTTAGCTTGAGTTAAACGCTGTCTGCAGGACTGTGAAATAGGAGCTATGTTTCCAGGAGCAGCTAACAGACAGCAGAATTGCCAAAGAAAGCATAACTTAATTAATGAAGCCTTTAAAGACCAATAAAAAGGAGAGAGGGTCATTAACACCCTAGGAATGAAGAATTTAGAAGGAATCAGGTAGATTATAATAAGTCATGAAGTCAGTTAATTCCCTCAGTGCTGCCTGAATAGAAATGCTGCTGCTGCTAGGCAGTTGGTTTTAAACTTTTGGGTGACCAGGAATCAAAGGGTGGATGTAACTGTATCACAGCACCCCCCTGGATCTGCTTCTAGCTATTACTTCCCAGTAAACCCATCCTGAAGATGCCATTGCTGGGGATGGTGAGTTTAACCATGAAGACATGGTCTGTGCTACAGAGTGATATTGTCACTTTCTGAAACACGTCTAGAGTATAGTTGAAAAGGGTCATTCCTTTTCTTTTCTTTGATTCTTCTGCTTTACCTCTTCAGGTTGTGTATGTTAAAATGGCAAATTCAAGGAGGAAAAAGAAAAGTATGACTGGTAAATACAAATAAGAGTCTTGCAAAGGAGAAAACATTTAAACACTGAATAAATACGTTGTCGACCAGAGGCCAACTAATGTTATAGTTTATTCCTATCACTCTCTGAACCAACACATTCAGTTTTCATTATCTGTTAAGTATGTGGGACTGTTCGTTTCAATGTGACAGGTTCAGTTTCACTATTTATGATTCAAATGATCAACACCCTTATTTCATGTATGATCCCTGTGATAAGGGCTGTCAGAGAAGTCAGAATAATAGCACGATGAATCTAGATCATTGTGAACGATTCACAATGATAGGATCAGGAAATTATGTCTCGTTAAGGGATATTAGATTTTCCATTACTGCTGTTTTCAGTCAGCTGTATGAATAAGCCTTATTTAATTCTATCTTTTCCCCCCATTAGTCCTAAGCAGCAGGCAAAAATGGCAGAATATTGCAGACTAATTTTTGGAGATGCGCTGCTTATGGATACGCTGGAGAAATACCCAGTAAGATGGTTTCATATTTATCTGATTGTAAACATCTGTATTAATTCTTATTTGCATGATTCTGTTTTAGATTGTTCTTCATCTACTGGTTTATGAAAGTGAAACTGTGAGGGAGGGGAGGAGTGGCTAAGTAGTGTATGGTATTTGTGGTTTAAGCATATGATTTTTGATGTGGAGATTATCATGATACAATGAATTATAATCCGCTAAAGCTCAATTGGCTCTCACATCTGTCATTTTAGACTGTGGGCTTTCGCATTTGGAAGAATACTTATTATGGTTATTACCATAGACATTTCATAGTGAATATTTTATTTGTCTTCTAAAACGCCCTCAGTAGCACTGTTTTGTGTAGCAGTGAGGCTACCTCTTGTGCAAACTGTCCTTCATTTTAAATTAGGTTCACATTATGGATTACAGAACTGTACATTGTATCATACAGATAGTACTGAGAGCTGTCACAGGCTTATTTTTCTTATTACAAATCTTTCCTCCTTTCTTCAAAGCTTGAAGCTGGTGTTCCTCTTCCAAGCCCTATGGACTTAATGTATAAAATTCTTGTGAAGAATAAAAAGAAATCACATAAGTCTGCAGATGGAAGTGCAAAAAAGAAGCTCTCTGAGCAAGCTTCTAACACATGCAGTGATTCGTCCAGTGTGTTTGAACCTTCATCTCCTGGAGCAGGTAAAAGTCAAATTCACGAACACATTATCGCCTGACTCAGAAACACACTAGGGTCTGAGTATGGCTGAGAGTAGTACCTGTTTACATTGCTATGGTAGTGCAAAGATGCATCAATCTTGGTCTAGATCAATGAAGCCCAAACAAAAAAAGTGAGGCCCTGGACAGGCATGCCATTTGAAGCAGGCTGAGTGTGTTTGAAGCTCTCTGAACAGCAAGGCTTCAGACCTTCATAACTGAAAAAGTACTTCAAAAATGGCCAAAGATCTTCAAAATTACCTTAAAAAATGGGGAACATCTTTGAATTGCTTGCTTTTAAAGTAATTTGCCAAACATCAACATACTCCACCAGTCCTCTGGCATCCTCCAGTGCTCTGGGATTCTGAGCACTTCAAATACACATCTGTCCCTGGACCAAATGGGCTTTGCTGAAGGGAGTCCAAGGTTTGAGGCTGAGGAGACATTCCCACTTACCTCATGACCGGGGCCAGATCCAGAAAAAAGGACTGTAGTGCTTGAAGAACAGGACTTAGATGTCCAAGTCCATACTTGTGATCTGGAAAACTGCTAACCACATATCCCTGGAAGCACCTAATGCTTACTAGCAGCCTCACTTTTCACCATAAAAGTTCCCTGGGAAGCCAGCTCCTGTTGAAGCCCCTTTGGAATCCAGAAATGAGGCAGAACGGTGCCAAAGTCCTATAAGGATATGTCTGCATCATGGTGGTATTATACTGTGGCTGGGGCAGCCCCCACCATGCCCCACCTCCTTGCACTCACTTGTATGCTCCAAACCCTGAAATATGCATGTGAAGACATTCCAGCATGCTTGAGGGTGGCTTCTGCAAGTGATTCCTGAGCAGTCTTAGTAGTGCACTTATGGGCTTGGAGCATATGTGCATGTAAGCAGTGTGGTAGGGCATGCTTATGGCTGTCCTAACCTACCCTAAGAGACTTGATCGAGTAAAGATATGTTGAACATGCCTAACACACACCAGCAGGATCAGGCAAAGTGTGCATCTCTTTTACTTGTCATGGCTGATTCACAAAGAAAATAACAATCTCCTCCCACTACATGGTCCCACTAACTCAAGTACTAAGAGGTCAGTATTACAAATCTAAAAATGCATACTGTTCTGACAACCTAAGCTGTGGGTCATTTCCACATGGTAGGATTTCTGGTTTTTCTGTTCGTTTTTCTTAAAAACAGAGCCGAAATCTTAGGAAATTGCATCGATAAACACTATGTTAACACAGCATTAAAATTGCAACATCAAGCACTTAAAAGCTAAGAAAAGCCAGAATTAGTGTTTCCTAGGGCTCCATGTGCAAATCCACTATGATACACTCTCTAATGGTATAATCACAGATTGTTTTTCCCCACAGCGCTCCACCTTAGTCAATAAATGAGTAGTTACTCAATATTTTTCTGTAGCTCCATCACACAGTGTGTGGCTCTAGAGACTTTCTGTACTGCAGTCCATTCACATCCTGCACCAAACAGAGTTATTAATTTTTTCCCAGGCATTTCTCTAATGGTTTCTTCATTATACTGGAGTGCTTCACACTCTTCAATGAATCTTTGCAACACCTCTGGGAAATGAAATCGTATTATTTTATGTATGGGAAATTAAAACCCAGAGAGATTAAAGCCAAGATTTTGGATGTCCAACTTTAGGCATATGGGACCTGATTTTTAAGAATCCTTAGCAGTTTTACATGGACACAGCACTTCACATATTAAAAAAAGAGCTCTAATCAACTTCAGCTATAGCTATGAATGCTCAGCACTTCTGACAATCTAATGCCAGATTCCTAATGCTGGACACCCAGAAAATGAGGAACATAAAATTAGCGGCTGGTTGTGAACATTTGCTTAAATGACTGGCTTAGTATTGCACAGGAACTCTCTGGAAGAGTCAGGGATAGTATCCAGTTCTCAATGACAGTACTTGCCTACAATACCCACTAGATCTTCCTTTCCTCTTCTTGTAGTTCCTTGCCTGGCTCAATACACTCCTTCCAGCTTCTGTAGCAAATAAAGTGTGGGTTCTACAGACAATGGCTTTCTTTACCTCACAAACATGATTTTTTCCACAAGCATCTAATACACTGAATGAGGCAGTAGACCAGTGGAAAATGTTAATATGTGATCTTGTAGTTTAAGGCCTGTGTCATAATGCATAGATCCAGGAGGCTACATTGAGACTGCACAGGTGGCCTTAATTTTGGCATGACTAAATTTTGAATGTTGTTTGACATTACAATCTTAATGTAGTTTTTGAGATGTATTATTTATACACTTAGGGCTCGTCTACACATTGCCATATGGCAACGTTGCTATGACACTGTGCTTTAGTGCTTCCTTTTGGAAGTACTTAAGCACAGCGCCATATGGGTAGTTACTGCACCATGCGTGCAGCGCATGGGTAAATTTCACCGCTATGTTGCTGTAGCAGCTCACTATACCCAGGGAACATGCAGCTACAGCGATGTAGACACATGTGATCACTACATTACCATAGTGTGCCATACAGTGATGTAGCATGTCACTACATTGTCACAGGGTGATATGTAGACACGCCCTTAAAGTGTCAATGTAAGGGTGGCGAGAAAAAGTTGCCCCCGTCTAAGTAAAGCTGTATTTTTAGACCAAGGTACCTGTGGTGTGGAGACTTTGATTTCAGTGCTTACAAGGTTTTTTGCTTTAAGTTAAATCAAAGTAAACTATACCTTAATGACTCTTAGACTCACTTAAGAAAAATGTCCCAGAGGAGCCTACAATTTTTTTAAAAGTTGAAATAAGAGTGTTCACATAATGGCTTGCGATTAATGTACTAAATTGGTTTTGAAACAGTTAAACTGTGAGCTTCTGTGGTAGGAAAAGGCCTGTGGCACATTGGTTCACTGCCATTACTGATGTGCTCACCAAGTCCAAGGGGACCTTTGAGTTGGTGGCTGTGAATTAGAGTTTCACTTCAGCCAAACAAAATCACCACCCACGCATCCTTTCCCAGGAATGCCATAGCTACTATGCTGTGGAGTCAAACTCTCTCTCACTTGTTCTAGGCATGCAGTCTGGTCTGTTTGAACCACCTTCTCTGGCTTAAGATGCCTTATACTTTGGTATTGTAGGTGTCTTGTCCACTTTGTACGCTGCCTTTTAAAGTCAGATCCTCAAGTGGTATACATCAGCAGAGTTTCTTTGGAGTCTGTAGCAGGACAGCCCCCAAGGTCTGCTGTGATGCCTGCTAGTAGCCACCATGCTCCTGCCTGGCTCCCACTCCATCCTCCCAGGGTCTCACCCTGCTTTCTTGCCAGCCATGTCTTGATATTAAAAGGTAATGAGGGGAAGCCCAGGATGCTATCTCTCTCTCTCTCTCTCTCTGTCTCTGTGCCTGTTTTCTCAGGCCCTACTTGTCATAAGGGCTAAATTCATGGCCTTCCACGCCTACAGCCATGCCCATGCCTCGCAGATGTTACTCTGTCCACAGTTCAGTCCTTCAGTATTGCTAGCTCTTATGATTTTTGGCATTGTTCTTAAAGTCTACAGTTCAGGAATGTGAAAAGCTTAGCTCTTGTATATACAGTAAAAGCTCTGTTATCTGGCATCCCCTGGGAACGGGGGATGCCGGTTAATCAAATATTCCCGTTAATCAAATGTGCTCTGTCTGGCACACTCCCCAGCATCAGCATGCTGGGGGACAGGGACAGGGACAGGGGCCCCGCACAGGCTGCTTTTTCCCGCACAGGCTGCTTTGCCCTGGGCCATGGGCCAAAAAAGTAGTGAAGAAAAACTCAGCTCACAGCAGCGAAACAGGAACACCCCTGGAAGTGGTACTTCCGGTTTTGCTTTTGCTGCATTACTCAGATGCCAGTTAATAGTTTTCCGACTAATAAAGTGCCAGTTAACACAGCTTTTACTGTATGTATATAAATAGACATAAAAGAAATATCTACGTTTTTTCACATCCCAAAGCACAGATTTTAAGAACAACACCAAAAATCATGATGGTTGACAACATTGGTCCTTGTGTAGAGGACTCAGCCCTCTTGGCTTTAGCTCCCCTTTTCTCTTGCTGCAGACCTCCAGGCCTGGCCCACTGATTTGGGCCCAGCCTGCTCAGCCTCAGCCCTTGCTGTGTCTCTGATCCCCGGACCCCTCAGCCCTGTGTTGTAATTAGTCTCAACCCCCTGCCATCCCTGGCCCAGGGCAAGGTTGCTCTGTGTTTGGCTCAGCCTCCCTGATGTCCCTGACCTTGAAGGGCTGTATGCTGGATGGCTTTGCAGCACCCCTGTGGTCTCCTGTCCACCCCTCTTAGCCACATCTGGTCCTCTGGTCTAAAGCTTAAATTTCAACATAGATACAAGGCACTGCTTCACGACTAAGAGCTGATCTTGATGTTCTCTCACTAGAGGCCATAAGCTCTCCTTAGCTCTCTCCTGGGAGCTCCAGGGAATAACTCAGGTGCCTGCCAGCCTGTCTGCTGCAGGCATCTCACCGAGGAGCTCCTCTGCCTGCTCTACGCAGGGTCAGACTGCCTGTTCTGATTCAGGCCCTGGGTTTAAATGCCTGGAAGCCATGCCCCCTTTCTGTTATCTGCCTTCCCCAGCTCAGCGGGGGGGGGGGGGTTCCCTGTTAACTAAGGACCTGGCTCCCCTCTTGCAGCTTCAGCCCCATACAGCCAACCTGCTGTGTCCTCCTAAAGAGACAGGATTCCCCTGGCTCCCTGTTACAGTCTCTTTTCCTCCTCTTCCATTATACCCAAATACCAGGGTTTGGGTCCCCTGTTACAGACTCCAAGAAGCTTTTTTTGATTGGCACCAGTAAAAGAAATGGCCCATTGATAGCTGTTAATAGCATACAGTGCTAATTTAACAGATTGCATACTTTTGCAGTTTACTTCAGCTGAGATTTTTGAATGGGCCTAAGAGACAGGTGCCCTTTGAATTTCAATCAAAATTGGACTCCTGGTTATCTCAGGCCCCTTTGATAATCCAATATCCACTGCTATGAGTTACCATAGTGCTTGAATAATGCTAAAAACATTCAAATGCACCTTCATTTTCAAATACCCTTTGAAGCTGTTCGGCTTCACATTCAAAGATTCATTGAGTTTCCCGGCCTTACCTTTCATCTGTCCTTCATTGTCAAATTGTGGCCCCTGCCTCTGATCAACCTGTTATCCTAAACTTCATTGCCCACTTGTTAAGGTGTCTAAATCACCCTGGTTTTTTCATACCGTCCCTTATGCTTGGGAGAAGCTCCATATAAGTCTCCATGAAGCTGCTCCTTATTCTCTGTTGCATCCTTCCTCCAAACTCTCCATTGCTATCATGCCTACAAAGCATTCAACAGTAGTGAGGTTGCTGGTGTGTTATGACTACAAGCCCAACACTGAATAATATTGTCTCATTGTTTCCTTGTACTCCCCCATCCCTCTGTATCCTATCTCCCATCTGTCTTCTCTTGTCATACGCATGGATTGGCCACCATTTAGGCTGATATCATTGGTCTGTTTTTTTCTAATGTTGTACAGCGTCAAGCTGAAAAGGGCCCTGACCGATGGCTGGGCCTCACAGGCCTATGATGATATTTAATTACCTGTCCCTTTTCTCATGGTTTTCAGTACAGCCTTATCTAAAGTGGTAGTGTCAGATCATCAGCTGGTGCAAGCTGTGGTAGCTTTCTTGAAGTCAGCAGGTCTATGACTTAGGTTCTGTCCAATTTACAGAGGCAGCCAGCCAATTTTGCATGCAGATAATGGGGCTGGCTGCCATTTTTGAGCACTTATCATGGCTCCTCCCCCCGCCCCCCACCCATGCCTCTGATGAGCCAAGGGGCCCTGGTGGCCTTGCACCCCTCTGGTGAACGGTAGAGAGAGCCATCTGTCATATGGTCTCACCCCTCACTGCTGATTGGCTGAGAGGGCTGTCTATCATGTGGCACCGTCCCTCATTGCTGATTGGTGGAGAGGGGTTAGGGTAAGGGTTTCATGCCAGTGGCCTCCTTCCACCTTTCTTCTGGGCAAGCTGCATGTCTGGGAGGACTGCTGGTTTCCACTGGGGAGTCAGCACTTGATTTTTAGTAAGTTATTTTTGCCCCTTAAGGATTTTGTGGAGATTACCCAATTTTGCAATTTCTGGGAAATCCACACAATCACAATTTGGGTAGACCCTTATCTATGAAAAGTTCACAAGATGAAAATGTGTCTCCTAATTTCTCTGGGTATGAAGAAACTTACATTTTTAAATGGAAGGAGGAGGTGCTTTGTCAGACCACACTGCAGCTGATATGGCTGAAACATGCACAAGCGTGTAGGTATACATGTAGCAAAGGTGCTCCAACTTTTACGTTTAAACCTCCTTCATCCAGGGTCAAAGCTGAGGAGATTTAGCCCACATGTACCACTACAGGATCCTGCACATGTAACAATTGCAGCATAATGGCTGCTGGACACTCCTGTGCTGCAGCCCCATCCTCTTTTGAAGTCACTCCATGTATATGTTTGTCCATACCCTCAGACTGTAGTAATTTGCAGCAGGTTTGTAGACCTGTACTCATGTACTACTGCTGCTTTTTCTCCTATCCGGAAACAGCTTTTGGACATGAGATTGAACCTTACTTGAAAGTTTGAAGTAAAATATTTTTAAATAAATACGGAAAATGTTGCCAATTTCCATCTGTGGACATTTTTAGCAATAGTAAGTTACCAATTACCTGGCCTCACTAATGTGTGCTGTGGCTTGGCCATGGGGATAATATGCTAGGGCAAATTGGCAATGGTCTGCTTCTTCCTCCTACTTCGTAGGCTCTGGGACATGAGTTTATTAGGAAAATCGGATGACTACATTGAGAGATCCGCAGCCGGTGACTGTCATTGCAAATCCAGTGAGAATGCTGCCGGCTTTTAGCAGCATGCTGAAGACCCTTAAGCTATACCCTGAGCCTGTTGAGCAATCATGTTATTTTTTCAATGAAATGTTCAGACAGAGATGTGTTTGTGAATAAAAGCATGACATTTCAACATCAGCATCTGGAAGAAAATCCAGCCTGGGCAGTCACAGCTCAATTGTGAAAGCAGTTCACATTATTTTAATCGGACCTCTTCTGCGTGTACTTAGATCCAGCAAAGTTCATTGAGATCTTCTGTTTCAGTTAAAATGTAGTTTTCAGAGTTCCTCCTAAGAATCACACTGTACAGATTATTAAAGTCAAACCTACAATAGAAATTCTGGTCACGTCCCCACAAGCAGGTACATGCAGTTTGTGGTGCCTCAAAGACTTTTGAGGCTCCACGAAATGCACATATTGCAGGTGATTCCATTCACCGTGCTACACATTTGCAGTGCGGCAGCAAATTAGATACTGGGAAATCCCTGTATCTAAAAAAACTATGGTCCGTGACTGCAGAGCATGCCTTGCAAAACCAGAGCCTGGCTGGCCAGAGCCACACTCCAGCAGCTGGATCGCTGCTGCTGGAGCCTCTGGAGGCCCCAGGGTCCCAGGTAAAGCTGCTGAGGCCAGCCGAGGTGCTGGCCCCAGCTTCCCCTGCTCTACCTTGGGCAATCTGGCACATGCCAGAGCACACATGCAGGGCCGTGTCTAGGGACAGCTAGCAGCAGCACAAATATGTGTTGCTGCTAGTTGTCACCAGAGAAATGCACATTCTCACTCGTAGGGACACACCCTCTGAAGGCAGAAGGTGAGATTTTGATATTGTAGATGCGTTCATGTTCTTCTTTCCCCCTAGGAGCAATCTAATAATAGAATACTATTATTCTATTATTAGGGGACATAATTTTTTAAACAGCAGCAAAGAATCTGCCCTGCCTGTAGGGATTTGGTCATCCTACAATATTTGAGAACAAAGCTTAAAAATCCGTGTTGTTTAAGATCATCTACCCATTCAGGACATTTTGAGGAAATGATTATTATGCAGCTCTTTCGTATTGTTTGGTTTGTGTTGCCCTCTGCTGGTGTGCCTTTGGTATGCCACCTGAGTGCTGACCACCATTCATGAAACAGATCGTTCAACCTGAGAAACGTATGTTTAATTCAAAGGAGCTATGCCAGTTTCTACCAGGGGAGTTACTCCATTATCCTGGTGCAAGACATTTTGAGAAACAAAGTGCTCCATTTATGATACTTTTTTGTCCCCCTTTACTGTGGTATGTGAGCATCTCATGTTCTTGCTTTTGCCTCGCAAAATTGTTACAAGGTAGAGGAGGAGGCACAAAGAGGTTAAGTGGCTTGCTCAAAATTGGACAGGTGTAGACATTTGAATGCTAGACCCTCTTGTCCTAGGGTAGCACCCTGAACCCCAGCATACCCTTTCTTGGCAATATATAATATCCCTAATTCATTAATTAGCACATGTAATCAGAACTCTCGGGGAGGTAATAACTTTTATTAGACCAACTAGAAAGTTGCAAAAAAAATATTTGCAAACTTTTGAGCATACATGCCCTTCATCAGACATAGGAGAGTGCAGATCGCTCTTTTTTGACTGGTAACATATAGTCAATAGTTCTGAACCGCTATTCTGGTGACTTTATAAAAACATGAGGAGTTAGTTGTTTGATAGATTCGAAAGAATAATTCGGCAATCCTGAGTCTGGATAAACCTTTTGAAAGTAGTTTATTTGGTTTGTGATATGAGAGGCAGTCCACATGAAAGCATGGGCTCCTGTAAAGTAACAGTAGATAGATATGTCTCTCATGAATATTTCTGGTGTTTATAATTGTCATGTCAGCTGATAATTTTATTGTATTTCAAATATTGCAGGAGAAGCCGAGATTGAGAGCGATGATGATGATGACTATGATGATGACTGTAAAAAATCATCGATGGATGAAGTGAGGACTTATAGAGTTGTTTTCCGAGACTGTTTCCAGAGCTTGTTGAACTTGCCTTGTATTCCTAAGTATTGGTCTGCCATCTACTGGAGACAAAGCAGTGCAGTTTAAAAAGCACTGCAAACTTTAAAAATGTCTCCTGATAGGCTTGATGTTCTTTTCAGTTAGATTTTAACTCATTAAAAGTAGGACATTGTTTATCTGTTTTAAACAGCTACTTGTTCTACAGCTAACTCTGCGGGAAATTATAACTGTCTGCTTGAGTCTGTATTTGCCATACTTATTATCATTCATTTTCCTGAATGTTGATCATTTGCTCAACGTTGTTCAGAACTGAAACTAATGCATCTCCTTCCCCATGGATGCCACAACTCTGTATAGGAATTAAAATATCATCTGAATAATTCAACTTTTAAATACCATGGTACATTCTCATCATGACCATGTGAAAATCCTGGAAGGCTAATCAAGACTTTTACACATTGTATCCCCATAAAATGTCATCCTTTCTGGATTTTGTACTTCCAAGAGGTTTCTTGGCTTTCAGGATTAATTTCATTTGATAAGATTTGGATTTTAAAAAGTAATTTCCTTTTCCAGCAAAATAAAAATTTAAGGGGGGAAGGACAGTACATGTGGAATACTCCTGTAAAAGTCCGGGGGTGGGAATCATATGTTTTTGAGAAAACACACCAGGTAGTGTGCAGGTAAAAATGAATACTCCTGAATTGGGGCTTTATCCTGCACCTGTTTTAAGTTAGTGGTAGACTTCATGTGTTTGGGCTCAGATCTTCAATAAGAAGTGGCATCTAAGTACTTTTTAGAGTGGTGCTTTACAGTATTGCATAGAAATCCTGCCAGTGAATTTTGTTATACCAAAACCATAATACTTTCCCATTCCTGTTCAAGGGCACAGCTGGCAGTGAAGCCATGGCCACTGAAGAAATGTCCAACCTGGTGAACTACATACAGCCGGTGAAGTTTGAGTCATTTGAGATATCAAAAAGTAAGTATACCGAGTCATGTGAGCAGCACTGCTTTATATTAGGCATGAGTTAAGAAATTGTTCCCTTGTTTTATACGTGGATAGCTCTAACAATAATACCAATTATTTCACAGATCTTTTGCCTGAGTAAGTTGTCATAGCTCCGTTGTCATCAGTAGATCTATGACTGTCTAAACCAGCTAAGGGCCTATCACAAAAAATAGAAGAGAAGAGTCTACATAAAGAATTGATTACTCTTCCTTCTCTGATGCTTGTGCATAACCCCCACAAAGGGTAATAGGAAATATTCTCCTTTATCAGGGACGTAGGAGACTTGCATTTATTTTGAGATATGCCCAATTCTAATGTTCAGGTTTATTTCCAGTTACTGCTGGCACAGTGGTGCAGATATTTCTGGAAATAAAGAAATCTTTGCCCCTCCAATATGCTTGTAAATAAACACTATAAAAAACTAAGGCACATTTTAGTTTGATTGATGAGTTCATAAGTGTTCCATCAGAAACAACTAGCAGCTTTTCATTTTGCCTACATTTACCCTTGTAAGACATATACCCACCCCTTTATACAAATTCCATCATTTCTGCATCAAACTACTGTATAGAATAGACCATAACTTCATCCCCTGCGGATTTGCATGGAAAATGTCTTGCTGGGAATGCACTTTGCAGCATCCTTAATAAACATTGCAGCATCTTTTCCTTTTTAGGAGCAGAACCCCCCGCTGTTTACCTGTCCTGTTTCACTGTGTTTTGACAGGCTGCAACACCTTCTTGAAACTTTTGTTGTTGCTTTTGTTAAAGTAAAGCTATGGAATTTTAATTTATAGTGGATTTATGGAGAATTTGGAAGAGAGAGAAGCAGCAGTTATAGATACCTAAATCTCTACCAGCGATTTAAATTTAAATAACAGCAACTTAATTAGACCAAAAGTTACTCTCCCAAAGAAATACATTAAAAAAGATTGCCCACACGTGCGCACACACTCCCCTGAAGCTTTTGGATGCAATAATAGGAGTCAGGAGCACACATCAAAGAGAAAAATATTTCTCTTAGGAGAGAAACTATATGGGTGAGTCTTGCCAGGCTTTCAGAAAAAAATGATGTTTCAGTTGCCCAGAGCTTGTGGATATAGATTTCTCCCCTACATGTTCTTGTCCCTATTGATTTCTACCTCTTGCAAAGAACAGTTCATATATATATTATACACAGCAGGTTTTAATTTTGACCTTTGATCAAATGTATTATGTTCTCATTTGATTATACTTAGGATGTTCCTTACACTAGAATTAGTGCTGAATTACAGTATAGTGGAGTAAAAAAAATCATTACTGTAGAAGTTTTGTCTATCAGCTAGAAAGTGACCTACATGGCAAGGTGTATGGGAGTCTATTTCCAGCTGATCCTGCTCATTCACTTCTTGGCCTTGAACAAGATCATGAAAGGTACATTAAAAACAAAAACTAAAAAATAGGGTGTAGATAGATCCAGATTGATTTTCAAATTTAATTGACAATTTTTAAATTTAAAAATGTTTGCTTTAATTTACTTGTTGCCAGTTTGTTTTCTTCCCATTTTATACTCTTCAGCCACTAAAGTGTTTTGTTATTGTTTCTTTAATTGGTTTCCAATTGCTAGGAATGTTTCAGATTTTACAAGCAGGTTTTTTTTCCCCTGTAAAAAAAATAAAAAAGTGTCTTACTTAACGTTCATCTGTTCTGAAGAGATCCAAGTCCATGGCCTCATTAACAACTCTACCGTAAGAACTACACAGACTTAAACACAGCACTGATAAATAAATCACCTATGCAAGCTCTGCACCTATGTGCCTGTTAAGCTGTGCACCTATTAAGTTTGCACAATATTGAAATGCTGAAGTGGTTCAACCAGGCTTCACTGTATTTGCAGTTTGAAGTCACTGGGCATGTCTACCTGTGCCCCTATGGTGCCGTTGTTACTGCACTGTCATTTAGTACTTCTTTTTTGGAAGTACTAAATGATGGTGCAGTAACAGCCCATATTGCACCATGCCGGCGAAGCACAGTTATTTTTAGCCACTACATCACCATAGCAATGCTCTAAAGCAAGGGAGCATGTTGCTACGGTGATGTAACTGCAGCATCATGGTAGAAGTGCCCACTAGGACTTAATTTCTGAGACCAGTAGTGGTCAACCTTTCAGCTCTAGTCTGGATGAGCGGCATGGGGCTTGTACGTAGGTTGGATTCTGCAGGCAGGGTCAGTCTGCAGGCCAGATCCTGCGTGGGGTCAGCATGCAGGATTAGGGCAGAAGTGTTATCCAGTGCACTGGCCCAGCCTCAGACACCAGATACAGCTGTGGAGTGACCTTGCATACTGTCACAATCTGATGCATGGGGCTGTGTCATCAGATGCACAGCGCCCCCCAGCGTCCAGAAATTTGACAGCAGGAAAGCACTGGCAGCATTTAATAGCTGTGATTTCAAGAGCCACTGCAATTAACACTGCCACCAGTTCCCCCACTGCCAGGTTCCCAAATCAGTAGGGAGCCTGGTGGGACAGTTTATACAGCCCTGTGGGCCAGATTCAGCCTGTAGGCCAACAGTTGAACACCAGTACTTGGATGCCATAATATGGCCTTAGAAGGTGATGTTTGAGCTTCTATTTGGGTATATTAAAAATCTCCCTGGTAGCTGGATTTGACACACTGGAAGGAAAATAACGTCTCGTTGTTAGAACAGAAGCCTCTTTGTGTTGAACTGACAAAGATTTTTATGGTATTAAGATTTAAGTTTTTGATACGATTGCTTGAAAAGCTTGCACACATGCTTCAGCTTCTGCACAGATATAGTTCCTTGAAATTAATGGGACTGTTCATGTGACTTAATTTTTAATTTTTTAATGTTTTGCTTTTTTCCTCACATCAGTTTTGTAAATTCTGCCAAGAGGGGCATTTATGGCATTTATTGACAAACTAAAACCAAAAAAAAACCCCATCCATAAATAATGTAATTGATTACACAGTTTTGTCTAAAGTTGCAGTAGCACAAATTTTCCAGTTAGATTTACAAAGCCTCAACCTGAGGTAAATCAATGATTTAAAATAAATTCTAGTGATTTAAAGCAATTACTCAAATTGATCTGCTCTGCCAAGAAGCAAAGAGGAGCATAAATCCTTCTGTTTTTCTAACATTTTAGGTCATTTTTTTTCTCTGCCTGTGTCTCAGTGTCCTCACTGGTAAAATAAATAAATAAATAAATAAATAAGGCTAATCAGACCTACTAGCCAGGGGTACTATGAGGTTGACTTCAACTTTGCAAAAATGATTTAAGATCCTTGTTCAGAAGACCATAAATGTGGAGGGCTGAAAAGGGACCTTAAGAAATTATCTACTCCCACTCACTGTGCTGTGGTGAAATGGTGCTTCAAAGCCCTAGATATGCCACCAACATATTTTTGTCTAACCAGTTGCTGAAAAAAAAATCCAATGAAGGTGGTTCTACAAAATCCCTTGATAACCTGTTTTGGTATATTCCTACTCTAACAGAAAAGTTTTTTTTCTAATCTCCAACTAAAATCATTTTTACTGCAAATGAATCTAATTTCTTTGGTCCTTCCTATAGTGACCACGGAGGAGAATTAATTACTTCTATATTTTTATGTATTAGAAGTTTTTGGAGGTTTTTTGGTTTGTTTATTTTTTACTATTCCTCTCTCCCTCCAATCTGCTTTTTTCTATGTTAAGCAAATGCAAGTCCATCAGCCTTTCCTCCCTCAGATCATTTTTTTTAAACATCTTACCAGTCTTGTTGATCTCTACTGGATTCTCTCCTCTTGATCTTATTTTTAAGTGTGATGCCCCAAAACTCGACATAGTACTCCAGACAAAGCCTGACCAGCCCCAAAGACAGCAGAATACTTACCTCTGTCTTGCATCCAACACACCTGTTAATCCATTTCAGAATGGCATTTTTCCTTTTTGCAACTGCATCACATTATTGACTCATGTTTAGTATGTTGTCACTACAGATCCAAGACCCTTCTCTGCATTACTGCAGCCAAGACAGATATTACCCATTTTGTATTGATGCATTTGATTTATCTTTCCTAAGTGTACCGCTTCACATTTGAGATTGCAGGTTTTAAATGTCATCTTGTTGTCTTAGGGCCATTTCTCCAATTTAACAAGATCATTCTGAATTCTGATCCCATCCTCCAGAGTTTGGGCACCCCTTCCAGCTTGATGTTATCCACATATTTTAGAAGCATAACCTCCAGTCCATCAGAAAATATTGAGCTGAAATGGGCTCAGAGCAGGCCTCTGTGGGATCACAGTTTAGGAGTGAAATATTGATAACTGCTCTTTGAGAGAACTTTCCAGGTAGTTATACTCCCACTTTATACTGGTCTCATTTGTTCATCATCTGATAACCAGATTGCAAAGTGTGACTATGGAGGGAAATGGGTCTTGCCAGGGAATCTCCTGTTTATTTGGCCTATTTCCCATCTTTCCTTAAGTTTTCAAAAATAGCCATTGTTATTATCATTATACAGCAGAATGAACACCAAGAGGTTCCATAGATGTACCATTTGCAGTTAGCAACTTCTGCACTATTAGGGTCATTTTCCTCTTGGATCAGAAGGCTGGGTGATATATTTATCCCACAAACCCTATCACAACACTTTTAAATAGAGTGAAAAAACATTGCTTTTCCTTCCTTGGAGTGTTAGAAATTGAAGGCAACATCTTTCTCAGATTTTCCACTGAGGTCATATTGAAGTCAAATAACCCTGGAGAGGATGGATATTTGGAAAAAAAAAACAGTGGCCATTTCAGGACATGACAGGATTTAAAGTAAATAATCATGAAAAGAAATGTTCAGTGTAGAAGAGGAGGAATGTGGCTGGGCATATAAAGAATCAATAACATGCTTCAGTGTCATTTTAATAAGAGACACATGATTTTTTTTTCTGAGCTGTCATCAGCCAAAGTGCTTTGCATATCTAATAAAAAAATGAATGACGTGTTTAGTATAAAGGCTCAGGAAATCTTCCCATTGTGGAACATAAACACTCTACAGTTTACCTCTCTTATCTTGTTTATTAGAAATCCATATTCTAACTACAGAAGGATAAAACTCATGGTCTTGGAAAGGCTGATGCATGTTCAGATTCTCATACCACAAAGTTGCCAAAGTAGTTAAAGTACTATTGGCCTATCTGCATGAACCTCCCTGATGTTGGTAAGGCCATAGCAATGGTTAGGCAAAGGTGAGAAACTTGATTAGAAATGCTATTGCAGAGAAAGCCTTAGTGCCTATAAAGGGTCTTAGACAAAAGTGAGCCGGCTGAAAATCTGGCTGAAAGACATGATAATACTTAGTTGTGGGGAGAGGGTACAGAATATCCCTGGAGGGAACCTGCTCCACTAGGAATTAAAACCTTTGAATGTTATACTGATGGGCTATAAAAGTAGCCAACTTGTATTTCCTGAACAAAGAGGTTGTGATACAAAGAGACTGCCACAAAGCAGCCAATTCTGATTCTAGGAATTAAAAGGAATAATTTATGTAAGACATGAGAGGTAGTGGGCCTGCCATACTCAAGGCTGGTGAGGCCTCTGCTGGGGTACTGTGTCCAGTTTGGGGCACTACACTTTATAAAAAGATGTAGATAATATGGCAAGGAAGCAAAAAAGGTTTAAAAAGCATATCCTTTAAGGAAAGGATGAAAAACCTGGGTTTACTTAATTTACTAAAGACTGAGCTAAGACATGAAAACACTCTTCCAGTACATAAAAGGTGGCAGGAAAGTAGTCAGTGACCAATTGTTCCCCAGGGCCACTGTAGGAAAGAAAAGCAGAAATCAGATTAATTTTCCAAAAAGAACATTTAGGTTAGTTATTAAGAAAGAATTCCTAACTGTTTAGGAAACAGGAAAAGGCTATCCATGAAGGTTATGGAATAAGAACAAGTTAAACAGATATCTATTGGGAATAGCCTAAGTATATTTAGTCTTACCTCAGTGAAGGTGATGGGGGTAAAAGATCCCTTGAGGTTCCCCCCTTCCCTCCCCTGGCTTCTGGCCTGGGCTACTGCAGACATGTGGCTGCATTTCTGAAATCAAAAGTGAATGTCTGTTCAGTTGTGTATTGGTTCAATCTTTGCAGACTAACCTATGAAGATTGACTTGATTCAGCCTCTGGCTTTTTGACTGTCTGTCCTTAGCCTTTGCGGCAGGGAGAACTCTTTGAAAATGTAATACCTCTGAGCACCCTGCAGGGATCCTGCTGTACTGTAGTTTCTGATCCGATACAGCTGTGCAGGGAGTAGTTCCTGCCATCTAGTTTTTCAGGCCCTTCCATCAGCCACCTTCTTTTCACTGTTCTAGGCACATGAATCTAGCTCCTTTTCTTCAGTAAGTGGTAGAGAGTCACTGCTCACCTTCCAGCTCTAAGGAGGGAAAGTTTCTGCCAACTTCAGTCTGGTTTCTGTGCAGGAGAGGGGGAAACTCATATGCCATGTTTGCCTGTCTCCTCTTGGTTTTCTAATTTGGTCACTGTGAGCTGGCCAGGCTGTTTCTGTGGTACTCCAGCACTTTGGTGACTGCAGCAAAATTACTTCGAAGACAGACATGCCATAGCACAATGTCCTTCAGCCTTGTCTCTGACTTGTGCCTTGCCTTTGAAAACTTTAGGAGCTGAGAGGGCAGACTCAGATGTAACTCACAGGCTATTTGCTTTGTTTACAATGAGATGCCAAGATGTTTTGATGGATGAGAATCTGCTCCTCATACTGTAGGAACCTCTAGGCAAACTACACAGCTCATTATTCATTGGAATGTGAAGTGTTTTTTTTCCCCAAGGGAATCATGTACAAAGCTAATTTGGAAAAAAAATTGAAAGGAAAAATTACATAAGCTGGAGGGCTTTTGACCTGAGTTTTCCACTGTGGGGTGACGCTTTGATGCATAAGAAGGATGTGCACAAGGAATGCCACACTGAATAACAAGTAGAGAAGGAGGATTATTCTCTCCAGTTTGAATATGCAAATTGAAGTTAGTAGTGATGTATTTGGCCCCTTTGAACGATAAGTTTAGTCTTAGACTCTCTCCCCTGCTCCAGCCCCCTTATGCCAAGTAGAAAGGCCATGAAAGCCTCAGATCAGCGCACAAGTAGGGATGGGGTATGCTGAGGCAGGGCTGCAGCTTATAACATCATACTACAGCTCGTACCTATAGGAATGAGGATTGCCTACAACAGGGCTGCCTTAAGCCACTGTAGTAGGCTAGACATTAGGTGGTAAAGAAATGGTTTGAAGCCTCCATACCTCCCTAAAACTCTGGGGATCTTCATTTTCTTCTCTGTCTTGAAAAGGGAGAGATCAGCACCTCACAATCAGTGCATTGTTGCAACAGACATGATGCAAGGTACTACAGCATTTCTGCAGTGCATCAGCTGATTGCTGCAGTGATGAGGAACAATGCTCTATCTGTATTAAGCAGCCAAAGTTCTTTGGGTAAATCTGATATCTTTTATTAGATCAACTCAACTATTTGAATTGGCCTAATAAAAGATATTAGATTTACCCAAGAACCTTGTCTGCTTTTGTCCTTAGACCAACACAGCTACATCCTATAACCCTATTGTGTATTAGCAAGACCAGGAATTCAGTAGAAGTAGAACTGGATCAGATGTTTATTTAGACCATCTGCGTTTATCACAGAAAAAATGTTCAGAAGGGTTATAAATCCACGTGCTTCAGAATATAAACCAGCATTTTATTGTCTTGAGTAAAGATGCAACTTCCCATATGAACAGGCTTTACCATAACACAGGGTGTCAAATATATGGTCCATGAGCCAGATCCAGCCTCTGGAGCAGTGTGATCTGGCCTGTAGGTCTCTGGGCTGACTTTGGCCATGCATGCTGTATATAGCATGCAGACCACACCTGGCACCTTGCATGCTACAGGCAGCACATGCAACCCATGACCCAGACCCCCTTTGCCATATGCAACACAAGGTCCATCCTGTACCCTGCACCATCCCTGGGGGCTGGCATGCTGCTCACAGTGCACAGGCTGAACTCGGTACTGCATGCAGTACAGGGAGTTCAGGTTGCAGGCTGCAGCACAGGTCTAGCTTGCATGCTATGGGCAACACAAGCCCTTTGCTGGCCCCAGGGGCTGGCATGTGTGGAGCCTAGGCAGAATGCAGCATGGTGGGTGCTCTGTAGGAGGCTGGTCCTGGTCTGGCCTGCAGATCAGCTCAGGTATGCCCATTTAGCCTGCAGGGCTGGATAATTTGGACACCTCCAATAATAGGAATATCAGACTCTTTAGTTTTTCTTCTAAAGCTCTGGCACTGGCCACAGTAGGGAATAGGATGAAAGGGAAAACTACTCTGATCTAGGAGGACAATTTCCAAATTCCTATTACAGTCATAAGCAAACTTTTCTTTGCTATCATCCATGCCTATGTCCTTATTTTAACCTTAGGAATAGAGAGACTTACAGTTTGAAAGAAATTATTATCCTGCATACGGAGCATTCCACAGGGAAGCAGACTTGATAGGGTGAGCAAGCACTCTGCAAAGAACAGCTCTTTACTATAGTACTTAAAATTGCATTGTTGTAGCTGAGGTTTGAAAGTAGTTTCCATTTAAAAAATAAACCGTGTTTTCATGCATTTTTGTCTTTAGGAAATTGTTTTATTGAAATGTTCTGTCATTGATCTATACATGAAGGTAATTTCTTTTGAAGTGTGAGCACCTTATAGTTTCCTATTGAAAAAAGAAACATTCTCTAGTATGGAAACATTCTCTACACCTTTGAGCCATAACCTCAATCCTTTTACAAGTATATAGAGCAGAAATTTACAAAAGGTTTTCAGGTACCTAAAGCAGCAGCAAGCTGCCTTGTTTGTGGGTGCGTTTTGTTTGTTTGATTGGTTGGTTGGTTTTTGCTTCTTTTTTTTTTAACAGAAAAGTATATGAACAAGTTAGGCACAAATTGTCAGTGGCTTTCATTTGGAGTTAGCCATCTAATTATATAGGTACATTTGCAAAGCCTGCTAGTTAATCCCCGTCTTGTGGTTAGGCCAAAACTCCATAATGATTGTGCTAGTTCTAAGGAAAACCTATGAGTTTGAAGGTTAGGTGCAAACCTATTAATCTGAAGGTTAGGTGCATTCAGAAGTATGCCACTATACATACCCAAGCTAACACATGTATCCAAACCAGCAGCATCATGAAAAGCCTCATTACCTGGCAGTGGAGAAATGTCCCTCATACGTGTGGTTGTAGCTTCCCATCATCATACGCTTTTAGGCCACTTTTCCAGGTACTCTGTGCCATGAAAGGTTCCATGCAGAGAGTCTAAACAGTCCTCAGCATGCCTCCTCATGTGCCCTCCAAGGAAACCTTGTATCTCATTTGCTGATCTGAATTGTGGGGTGACACATGCATGTCTGAATAATAAATGGGATAGAGATGATACCTTGATCCCCACCAGTTACAACTCTACCTTACATATTAGTATGTTCTCACATTCTGTTTTTCTTTCTTTTTTTCTCTCTCTCTCCTATAAACTATAGAACGTAACAGGAGTTTTGAAATGTCGTCCTTCGTGGAAACCAAAGGGCTTGAGCAACTCACAAAGTCTCCAGTGGAATTCGTGGAGTATCCTTAACGTTCAAAAAGAGTCCTTATATACATTTTCAACTCCAAGATCTGTTATGTTTCTTCCCTGAAATTTGGAGTCATGAGTCTGAGAAATTTGGAACCCAACTTAATGGTGTAACCAAAGTCTTAGATTAATAAGCAGGGCTGGGAGCTGATGAGAGTTTATTTGGTAGTCAAAGTGAAGTCTAGTGATGATCATTAAGTGTGACTGAGAGTTATAAAATGCAGATTGAAAGCCCACAGAGGCATAACTGTTAAGTGTTGTGTCTTGGGCGGCAGTGGTGCATGGTGCAAAGACAGCAGCCAGAGATCTGATTCAGCCAGGGGCAGTGTTACCTCATTTTTTTGCTGCCAACGTGTGCATCAAGCAGCCATTTAAATACTACTTTTCAGCAGCAAGCAATAAGCTGACATCTTCCATAGCAGCAGTGAACCACCAGCCACTGCTTCTGTAGTGTATGCCATTGACATTTCTCTGCCATCCCTGTTGCCAGATCCACTGCAGGGAAAGTGCAATGTGCAGTAGTGAAGGGGGGCCAGGAGGGTGAAATGGCCCCTAGCTCCATTCTGGTGCCCGTTTGCCCCCTTATGCAAGGCCCAGAGTTCATGTCCTACTTGCCCATCTTCCATTATGCTACTGAAAGCCCAACAAGGAAAAGGAAGTCAGAAAAGTTAGTGAATATGTTCCTTTATTTTCCTATTGTTAACATAAAAGTAGTGGTAGCATAATAGATAAATTATAAATGGAGAAAAATTGTCCAATAGGAATAATCTGGGTAACTCACCTTTTTGCAAAAAGGCTGGGACTATAGATAAACATGTCTTTAAACCCAGCATTTCTCAATGCAGAAGTGGGTCACAAGAATATATGAAAGGGTCATGAACAAACTTTAAAAATGGATTCTCATTTAATGGAGAAAAATATGGGAAACCATGGCTTTTCCCTTGCAGACTGTCAGATTTCCAGCCTGCAAGAGGCTTCTTGGAGCCTCCTCATGCCCCACACACACCCCACCATAGGCGACTGGTAGGGGGTGCATGGGGGGTGCATGTCCCTGCCCCCCCCCATTGGGTTCAGTGCCCCCCTGACAGCTGACACTGATGCTGTCAGCAGGGCTGGTGCCACCCTTGACAGTTCACAAGGAGTGCAGTTTGCAAGCCTGAAGTTCACAAGGAGTGTTCCAGGTAAAATACCATTTCAAAGATTAGTTAAAAGCTAGCCTGTAACATATTCCCACATCTAACATTTGTGGATTGGCCATATGGAGTTTACATCCAACAGTCAACATTGCCTTCTATATGTAGAAAGTCAGTTAAACACTTATTTCAGGAAGCAAGTCCTTTGTAACTGGGCACTCCTCACTCCATCTGTGGAAGGATTGCTACTGCTTATTTGCAACTGTAAAAGCATATTAGGAAATGACTAAGTTACTTACCATAGTCATAACTGGAGTTCTGCAAAGATATTATCCTCTAGATCTGCACACACACACTTATTCCTTGTTTTTTTCAGTATTTGTCTAATCCATACAGGAACTAGGGGTGGTGGTAGTATAATTTTATAATCTCACATTCATACAACGTATAAAAAGGCTCACTGTTCCTAAAGAGCATGGATCTTTGAAAAAAGCATGGTTGGAGAACACCCATAAGTGAGCAACCATCATTCTGTAAAGAGGTTCGGTAGATTGAAATGATATAATAGGCAGCTAATAATTTTGCCAGATGTACTGTATCTTAACTATTCATCATCTAGATACAACAAAATGCAGCTTAGCCGAATTTATCCAAAAGGAACACGTGTAGATTCCTCAAACTACATGCCACAAGTCTTCTGGAATGCTGGTTGTCAGATGGTTGCCCTTAACTTCCAAACTGTAGGTAAGTCTCACTACTTACTTGATTTTGTTGGCTGCGCTTTCCACTTCTTGAATACATTTTTAATTAGAAGCCAAGTAAGTTTTGTCCAGTGGAAAGATGTTGAGCTGTTGATTGGTATGATGAAGCTGTTGGATCATTCTTTTTACTCAATTTATGCAATATTCAAAATTAGTATATTATATACAAATTGTGCATTATACTTTAGTCTCACCTGCTCACATGCAGTGGTCACCATTAGGAAGTCAGCATTTGCCAAGTTACCACTCACCAGCTGAAAAATGCTTATGACTTTATTTTCTGGGTAGCAGAAAATCTTACAGTGTCTCATATGCATTGCGTTAAATGTTGACTTGTTAATGATGACTGCTTTATATAGTATAATAAAGTGAAAATACAGTTAACTTTGCTTCAGTCTCCAATAACAGTTACTGCTATTTTTCATGTTTATTGCAGTAGCCCCACACAATGAGAAACAGAATAGGGCTTCATTGTTGTAAACACTATACATAACTGCAAGGAGATATTTTCATAGGAGGGCCTAATAGGAATATTCTTCCCCAAAATGCACGTGCACTCAGCCCCATAAACGCCAGAAGGTATATATGCACACACAAATGACAAACTGCACTCAGACATGCCTGATATTTTTGCTACTGGATGGAACTGGTTGCTAAATGAACAAAGTTTCAAAGATGTGTCAGTTCCATATATCCGTATGACTCCAACCAGAACTTACAACAACCACCAAGGTTTAGCTTCAGATTTGAGGTAATGGTTTCAATGATTATTTTCAATTTCATTTTAACAGTGTGGAGAGCCCCCATGTTTTTCTATGCATCACTTGTGGCAAAAAAATCTTGAATTCATGGTGCAGTATTAATCCCCACAGCTCCTTTCCAATAGCGGTTCATAAATGCAACTTTGCAAGTTTTAAACTGCCATTTGTTGTTTGAAGGAGCTCATCCTGGTGCTGTGAATGCTCAGAGAAATGATTTAAAACCAAAAACTTTCTGCAACTGCTTCAGAAACTGTTATTTTAACCATCTTGAACTTTCTGAAGACAGAGTCATATCTTCAGAGGCCCCCTGTAGCTATTATTATGAGCGCTGTTACCTTTTAACAGAAAACACCTCTTTCAAATTAAAGAAACTGTAAAGATTTTTAAAGGTTATTTGCCATTGCTTTACTCCGCATTTCAAAGCTAAAGTATCTTAGACGGTTAAGTCCTATTTTCAAAAGTAAGTCTTGAAAAGCAATGGGATTTACAGAGGCATAAGTGGGCAGTTTTGCACATTGAGCAATGGCAGCCCATGGGGCACTGGTCACAGCTGTGCTCCTGCTGGCAGAGTAGTAGGTAAGAGAGTAGTGATGGTTTCTGCTATTTTTGTACTCCAGCTGAAGTTGGTGCTCCAGTCTCCCCTGCTTAGTTACACTACTAGGGGTTTTATGTTCGTATGTGGTAAATGACTCTTAAAGATCTAAACAATTAACTCACATCTTCAGGAGAAGCTATGGAGAATTTCATCCTTTTTTATAAGGATGGGGCTAAACTGGTTTTAGTGGTGGCAGATGACAGAACAAGGAGCAATGGTCTCAAGTGCCAGCAAGGGAAGTTTAGGTTAGATATTAGGAAAGACTTTCTCATTAGGAAGATAGTGAGGCACTGGAACAGGTTACCCGGAGTTGTGGATTCTCCATCCTTGGAGGCTTTTAAGACCCAGTTAGACAAACCCTTGGCTGGGATGTTTTACTTGGGGCTGGTGCTTCTTTGAGCAAGGATAGGACTAGATGACCTCCTGGGCTACGGACAGAAATTATTCATAAACTGGTATAAGTGATTGGAAGCCAGTTCAAATATGTAACAAAACAGAAGTCCAGTGCACATAAACTGCTTTCAGAATGGTCAAAAACTGGCTTAATATCAACCTGGATGGATGTAGTATCAGATTTAACTTATTTAGGTTACATCAATTTATTGAATTTCTATCCCAGATCCCCTCCAGATTCAAGTTAACTAACAGCTCCCCAGCATCCCAGGATGCTTTGCATCTCCCATCCAAATTGCCCTTTACAGGGTGGGCAAGCTAGCCTTGGCCTAAGCTGTCTGCTCCAGCTGAGCAGGAAGGCATGCTCTAGCATCCCTTGGCTTCTGGCCTAGACCACTGCAGGCATGTGGTTGCACTTCCAGAGTCAAAAGTGAATGTCTCTTCACTTGCATATTTGTTCAGTCTATGCAGCTTACACCAGCCTATGAAGATCGAATCAATTTAGCATCTGGCTTTTTGACTGTCTGTACTTAGCCCTGAGGTCCCCTCCAGCTCTGATTTTCTATGATTCTGTGAATTCAAGGTAGCCTTCCCTAATGACAGCAGTCACTGTGTGGGAGAGTGAGGTCTTACAATAAAGAACCTTCTGAAACCTTTTGAGTGACAACAGCGCCAAGAAATACATCTTCTTCACAGTGTGCTCAGCTGGAAAAACATAATCTAAATAAAGTGTTATTTTGCTATTTAATGGGATTTTTTTATAATTGCAGCATATCCTATATTAATTATTTTTTTAAATTCTTACTGTTCAGATTTGTCTATGCAAATAAACATGGGAATGTATGAATACAATGGCAAATGTGGATACCGGCTAAAACCAGAGTTCATGAGAAGACCAGACAAACATTTTGATCCATTTACAGAAGGCATTGTGGATGGAATAGTAGCCAACACTTTGTCTGTTAAGGTACGTATACAATTACTGAGACTACTGTTGATGTTAGAAGACAGTTTGGCTGGATTCAAAGCTGAGAAAACAAAATACTCATCTGTACTGGGTCACATGTTAATTTTCAAACTGAAAGACTACTCATTTCCTCAGAAATAGATACTTTGAAGGAATGTTATACAGTAAGTAAATTTGCTTTTCCTGTAGTTTTCATTCTGTTCTCAGTTTCATTCCTTTTTAAATTCATAATAGTTACCAGGAAGTTGATGTATTTAAAAAGGGTTAAAAAAGTTAAGCTTTTATTTTTGAAGTATGTTATTTCAAGTAGAGTATTTCAAGTAACATAAAATGCCCCTAGCACAGGTTAACTTATAGGCAGTGACCAATGTGAAGTACACTGCTGAGTATAAATGATTAAAATGATAGGTTTTCATTAAAACGTAATAGCTATATTTGTTCCTCTGGGTGTAATACCCTAAGTTACCTGAAGCAGTAATATTAATAGACCTATTCAGTTGAACAAATATCTTCTCTTAATTGAAAGGAAGAGGATACTCACTTGGAAGCTGTTAATGCAATTCAGCATAGTAGAGTACTAACTACTGGTGGCAGAATGTACGCTGGTAGCGGGAAACCTCTTTTGAAAATCCACACAACCCTAAGCTTGAAAAGTCTCAACTTGTGTGGGTTGTTGAGCACGCTCTTCAACCACTGCAGTAAGTGGGATGCAAACACTTGCTCAATACCTGTCAGGTTGCTGTATTTTGTCCATGAGTAATGAGGCAATTCCATAAGCCAGCTCTGTCTGCCTGCCCTGCATAGATTGTGTGAGATGCAGTGGCAGAGTACATAATATGCCTATCTATATACTCATTGGTAGGCTAACCCTCTGCCCTATGCTTTGTAACAATTTGTTTCAAATCCTTTCCTTTTATCTCCCATTTTAGAAATGCCTAGAAGAAGAGTTCTGTTTGAGTTGTTTTCTTTTCCTAGCATTTGACCGGAGGGAAACCAAGGCATCTCATTATCTTTGCTGCAGCATGATTACACGCAACTTCAGGGTTAACCTGATATATTCTTTTACCATAGCACTACGTGCATTGTGTTGCTATGTCTGCAATATAAAATAGTGTGCTTTAGGTGGGGGGAAGAGGAGGGGAGAGTAGGAGAGGGTCTTTTGGGACATGAACTACCATCACCAATCTGAGTTCTCCAGCTAGAAATGTCAGAATTCCCAAACTCTTTCTGTTGACCGCTTACTAAAGCCACATGTATTTTGTTTTCTAGGTAATTTCAGGTCAGTTTCTTTCTGATAAAAAGGTTGGTACATATGTAGAAGTAGACATGTTTGGCCTTCCTGTGGATACAAGACGAAAAGCGTTAAAGACAAAGACCTCTCAAGGCAACGCTGTTAATCCGGTCTGGGAAGAGGAAACCATAGTATTTAAGAAGGTTGGTGTAATGTTTTTTGTTTTCTCCCCATAAAGTGTACAATAATTTTACTAGTATCTGGTAGATTCATTCTGTATTTTACAGAATATTTAAAATGATTGAATTTCTGAATATAAAATTCAAGAAATTCTAAATTATTTTTCACAAATTAATCTTTCTGTCCCAACACCTGAAATCAGTCAGCTGAAGTTATTTTTGATTCATTGCCACACGGTTTGGCCTGATGACTTACAAGACAAACTTTTCCAAAGCCTCTGTAAGACCCAAGAGCCTAAATCTCATTCACTAAGGGCCCCCCACCCCCGGCCAGCCACATTCCAGGCTTGTCCCCTGCTGCCCACCCCAGGGCTCCTTTGCTCCCCCACACATATGCGCACACACTCACAGGGCTCCCCCCAAACCCTCCCTCCCACTTACTTGTGGCTGCTTGCGCTGTCTGTCCAAGGAAGCAGGCAGGGAAGGGTTAACCTGCCTGCATGGCTACCACCACCACTACCAAGCTGCTGCTTTGCTCAAGGCTGAGCCCATCCCAAAGAGCAGTAGCTGAGGCTGGCAGCAGCCAAGAAAACAGGGTAACCCTTCCCTGCCTGCTTCCTGGATAGATAGCATAGGCATAAGTTGGAGTGAGGGAGTAGTGAGTAGAGGTCTGGGGTACTGGGTAAGGCGGGACAGTGGGCCCAATCCAGGCCAGCAGGGGAGGAGGATGTTAACACTAAGGTATAGCCTAGACCAGTGGTCCCCAACCTTTTTTGCACCAGGACCCATTTGTAAATATCAATAGCCAGTCCCAACCCAGTGCCCCTCACTTCCGGCCTGCTGCCTGCCACCCCCAGACCCCAACCCCGCAGCGTGTGGGGCCGGGAGTGAGTGTGTGCGGTGGGGGGCATGGGGAGGCCCCAAGCAGCCCCTCACAGGCTGGTACTCTGCCAGCCTGCAAGGGGGAAGCCACAGTTTCCCACGTTTTTCTCTTTTAAAAGAAAATTCCTTTTTAAAGTTTGGTCATCCATATTTTAAAGATTGTTTGTGACCTTTTCATATGTTCTTACAACCCACTTTTTGTTCCTGACCCATGGGTTGAGAAACACTGGGCTAGAGTACATACAGGAGTTAACATGATCCAGGAGCCACCCAAAATTACTGTGTAACAAGGCCCTTAACTGTGGAATTTGGACTCCTGAGCTACATAAGTATTTGTGAAATTTTTACCCAGAAGACCCAGTCCTGAAAAGTCAGTGGATGCTAAGAGTCTTAAGTATCTCTCAGAATCATATCTTTGCAAAATTAATATATCATCATGATTTGTGTGTTTGCAACCAGTTTCCTAAAGAGAATTCTAGTATTATGCGTTTTTACTTTACTAGATAATTCAGCTAACTTGATTTTGCATCCTGTTATTTGAGAGACAGTTGCCCCTGCATGTCCCATGGCAAAAATTAATGTTATGGAGTGTCTGATGCCATTGGTTCCTGAAATTCAGCATTGTAGCAATAGCAGTAGTGCTCATATACATTCTGCTTTCAAACAAACCTTTCCTTTGGCAGTCTGAGCTAGAGTTTGGAAACTGCAATTTTTTTTTCTCACAAGAGTGCTTAACTTTTATGCAGCATCTTATTTCTCTAATCCATTTCCACCAGGCTTGGAAAGAATCTAGTCTTAGAAAGAGCATGATTTATTTTTCAGCTGTCTCATATCATCTTTATGTTAGAATTCTATAAATATGCATCCACATATTTTTATATAGGTTGAAAATGTACTGAAAGTAAATCACTGATTTCAGCATGGTATGATATGAATATATTATGCCTGTATGTTTATGCATGTTTGTTTTCACCTGTGTGGTCATTCTGATGCAGCAGTGAGGTTGATGACCCCTGGCATAGGGCAGTGGAAGATGGTCTTCCACAGAGGACCCTAGGAGTGGAAGGGTCTCCTGGGTTCTAGAGTCCAGTCTGGGCAACTCTATCCAGGAAAACAGAGTGTACACAGGAGTGTAGATTCAGCTTACAATTAGCATGAACTAACTTTAGTAAGTGTTAAAGTTACCGTTTGCTTTGAGCAATTGCATGTTATGTGTAAATTATACCCCAGGGAATCATGCACAGAAAAAAATCAAATTTTTCAATGTTAGTCTAGACTGCTCCAAACAGGGTCAAGGTCAGAGCCATCCTTGTTGTGAAACCTGATTTCGATGCTGTTTACAGGAATACATGAGAAAAAAAACCCATCCTCTATCTCTTGTATAACAAACAGGCAGCCAGGAATGAGGATGGCAAGGAGTCTGTTCAGGGTGATTGATTCCCTTCAGAATGCTTTGCAGAAGCTGTTGGGATGCATTCAGCAATTCTAGGTATCGTTTGTCCCTTGAGAGCCAGACTTGAGGAGCAGACACCAAGATGAGGATCCTGCATATCATAGCACAGCATGTCCTACTGAGGGCAAAAGAAAAGGCCATCTTTATGCCTTGTTCACCAGTAACATGATTATGGCAAAGAGGGTCAAGCCTGTAGCAAGCAAATACTGGGATAGGCAGGCCCTTTCACTTAATAAGTTATAGAAAAACAAATTGTTAACAGCAGCCATTCTGGCAAGATATGCATTTTCCTGCAGAACCCTAAAGGGTGAATGTTTCATGTTATCAAGCTAAATAACTCTGCACCACAGCTCCTGCATTTTCTTAATGTGCCAGGAGTAGGGACTGGGGGACGTGTCTGATTTCTAGGCCACTAATAGACATTTAAAGATACAATGGGATCTGATCCTTTTTCCTAACAGTTGTGCCTCTTGCCATGACACACATGTGTAGCAGTTTGCATAATTTTGAGATTGGGGATCAGATCCAAATTATGCCCTACTTGCTAGTGCAGGGAAAGCCTGGGATCACGATCCTGAGCTTTTCCTGCACCGGCAATTTGAAACCCAGGGGCCCAATGATCAGCTCATTGTTGGCTGGATTGTAACTGCAGTGGGGCTCAAATGAGCTATGGTGCAGTCCCTGGAGCCAGACAACAATCAGCTGATTGCCAGCTGGCTCTGGGGACTGCACCACCACCGGTTTTTGCCCTGGTGCACTCCCGATACAGCCAATGATCAGCTGGCCATTGGTCATTTGGAGACCCTAGTGCAGCCCTAACCCTGAAACACATTCAGCTTAAGGCACAATGGAAAACAGTCTAAAAAATATTATGCATTTTTGCATAATGTTTTTGTGGCGTCATTAATTGCCTGAACCATGTGGGCAGATTACGATTTAAGATGCAGTTGACAGACACCCGGGGCCTTGGGAACAGATATGAGCAGGGCAACATGAAATTCCTCTGTACTGCTCATTAGACTGCCAGCGAGTAGTTTCTTTTAGACTACAGTCTACCTTGTGAATCTAGTCCTGGATCACTTGGGTCTTTATATGATCCTACATTTTGATCCCCATGAACAAGAAGCACTGTTGAAAGCAAACAGACCTTCCAAGCTGAGTTCTTGCAGATTTCCCTATCTCGCAGAGGAAAACATTAAATCGTCTCACTTAGATTGATTTCTTACCAAAGTCATTATTTCCCCTGCACGGAACTACAGTGTTGTTTCATTCATCACCAGCACAATCTCCCTTTCTAAAGAAATCACATAATGCATTTCTTTATGAGATTACTATAAGTTTCTTTCTGATCTACTTCTGTAGTCTTTTTAATAGATTTCTTCCCCCCCTCTCCCCCCTGTCTCCCTACCTAATGCATGCCCATTGTAGTAACCCTGGTAACTTAGCATTTGACAACCCAAAAGGACTTTTCTATCCTTTCACTGAAGCAAAGGTTAGCATCTTAGGTTTATCTATCTCTCTTACCAGCCTCATCTATCCACTAAACTTCATTTGCCTGACTAGGCAGTCATGATAGGAAGTGATGGGTCAGAAGACCTTTATTAGTTGGAAGCATATTTCATGCAATTACAGGCTTGCAGCATAGTCACACTTTTCAGACTCTAAAACAAGTATGACGCATATATCGTATTAAACCTGGGGATTTTGTTCTCCGCCTCAGATATGGCTGTTCTGAAAATTCCCTGTCTAGGACTTACCCACCTGTAAGGATTGTCCTTCCTTCCACAGGTGACTAGACAGATGCATGATCATTTCTGAATTATTTTTGTATGTAGCTCATATGCCTTCTGACCAGTTATATAGCAAAAAGTTTGAATGTCTGTGTAGCTATTTTTATTTGCTAGCTCATTTCTCTATTCTTGTATATATCTTATATTAGGAAACAGTTTTTCATTCAGAGCAAAAAATTAATAAATGAACTAACATGTCCCTTTAGGTTGTTCTACCTTCTCTGGCATGTTTGAGGATAGCAGTATATGAAGAAGGAGGGAAATTTATCGGCCATCGGATATTGCCTGTCTCAGCCATTCGACCAGGTGAGGTTACTGCTCTACTGTTCTACAAGTTATGTAGAGAAGAGGACAAAAAGCCAGAGTCTCCACTGCCATAAATGAGCATTGACTTCAACACAACTTTGCAGATCTGATCCAAAGTATTCAGTTGATGGTAACATTCACTAATACTAATACTTTATTATTTTAGCCTTCGCCTTAAATTTCTATGAAAAAGAAAATACTCTGATCACTAGAAGTTTAAGCCTGAAATGAAACAAGGAAACCTGTGGAGCTAAATGTTACAAAGAAAGCAATGATAGTTACTGGTCCCCAGTATATCAGTATGCACAAATCTTATAAACAAGAAAGGCCACAATACAAGTTTGAGAAGAAAAGGGGAAACAGCCATTTTTTACATTTCTCCTTTGGTGAGAATGGGACAAGGTTGTGGGGAAGGAGGAAGGAAGAATTACTGACATGTGGGGCCAGAATCTGAATGTGGCTCTGCCCTATACACACAAAATCATTTATTAAACCAAAGCTACTTATTTTTTATTTGTTGAAAGTACCAAACAGTCAGTTGTGGATCAACCTGGAATTAACTTATTGCTATTGCTATGAAATATTTGTGTTATGGATGTATTATCCTAGTTTTAATTGATTGATTGATTTAATTGTACCTCCCAGTTTTAATTGATAAACCAGCTCCATGAGCACCTTGGCCGCTAATTATAAATAAAATTTAAAATAAAAATAAAATATAGTTATGAACTCATCCAAATTAAAAGGAATACAATAAGGTATGTTTGCACAGGCCAAAGAGTGAGCATTTAGTCAATGGGTAAAAAATAAAAGTGATTGACTAAAACTGGAGTCCTAGACTTCTCACCTCGTCCCTCAACTGAGTTTTATCTAGGTAGCTTGAAAACTCTTCAGGGCGATGATCTACCATACTGTGTTCTCCAAATGAATTAGTTTACTGGCACCACTATATAAATAATAAGAAATACTATCATTACATGGGAAATGTGTATGGGGAAGAATTAACATTTTGGCCTGGATGGCTTTTATTTTCTAGGCTACCACTACATCTGCCTAAGGAATGAAAGGAACCAGCCTTTGACACTGCCGGCTGTCTTTGTGTACATTGAAGTCAAAGACTATGTACCCGATACCTACGCAGGTAACTCTATGAAACTTTCCAGTTGAACTTCAAAAAGGACAAGATTTGGAAGTTTAGGCTACCAAACTGACTCACCATTATTGAACACACTGAAACAAACTTTTCTGTCTGCTGTGGCTTAAGGTTTTACGTACTGCTGTATGAAATTGCTATAATGGGCTTCAGCTTGCCTTCCTGGACCACAGCCAAAGCACTTGTTTTCCAGCAAACTTTTTGCAGCCCTAAAGAAAGTATGAACCTTGGGATTTGTTAATAAAAACACAAATGTAGCTTGGTTGAAATGACACAGCAGTGCACAATCACTTTCAGACTGAAAGTAAAACATTATTCTTAATTTTATAAAATTGAGTGGTTGCATTGCACATATATACCTAAAAATACTAATTTAATTTATTTATTTTGATCTTAATTTAGCATTGGAGGTGTTACCATTGTCTTCATGTGAGCAGAATTAGACCAATTCTGAACAGTTTGGAAAATCTCATCCTGAAACTCTGCTCCAAACACACATAGACAGGGTTCCTGTTAAAACAGTTACAATAGAATACAGACAAGCTACAAACCAAAGCTCTGTCTCAAGCAACACCATCTCTCCTACTTCTTCCTCCACTAACTACCTTTTGCACTAATCTGTAGTGAGCAGATTAGCCCAAATCTATTAAAAATCTTACATAAAAACTAGCCTAAGCAAGGGTCACATGCATATTACCTTTAATTTTTCACAGCATAATGGTACCTTTGGTAGAATGGGCACTTTTACTGATATTTTTGAAGTCCAAGTAGTAACTCTAAACATTAGATTTCAGGAAAAAAATTTGGCCATTTAAATATCTTAACAGTACTGAAACAAAAGAGTAAGGAACATGGGTCTCAAACATTTGCTTCATTTCTAGATGTGATTGAAGCACTATCCAATCCAATTAGATATGTAAACTTGATGGAGCAAAGAGCTAAACAGCTGGCAGCACTAACACTGGAGGAGGAAGAAGAAGAGGTAAAGAAAGAGGTAAGGGAGGTTTCAGTCGCTACATGTTAAGCTACATGTTAAGTGTGTTGGGCAGGATTCTTTTAAAGCATGTCCATCACTTAGAAGAGTGGTTGGCAACCTATTGCACACAGTCATTGAATGAGGCCCACAGAGCCAGGGGGCATAAGGGCAGCAGCTGTTATGTTTTAATTGTCATTTGTGAACAAACTGAGAACAACTCAAATGTAGCAAAATTTACCAGTTCTTCATCCAGAAAGTTGAACCATTTTTGCAACATTTGATTCGTTCTTGGCTTGGGCTTGTTCATATATAACAGTTAGTAGTGGTAATAGTAGTTTATTTACAACTTTTGCTAAAAGAATATAATAGAATTAACAGTAAAATTGTATATTATACAATAGCATTACATGATTTGTGGCTATTGGTAAAAGCATATATGAAATTACAAATTCTACTAATTTAAAAAAATTAACGTAATATATGGTAATTAAAAATAGATAAAATGAAGCAATATAAAACAGTAGAGTAAAAAAGTAAAAATAAGGAATTCTGTTTGATTTTGGCCCTCATTATTTGTGCAAGTAATGCAGATACACCTATGGAGTATAGGATAGACTGTAAGTTGTTAGAGAGGAGCCAATGCTTTTTCTTCATTAGACCAATACTTAAAATTTTCCACTAATGGAAAGATCCATTTTCCTCATATTTCTTCAAAGAATGAACAAGGCTACAAATAGTGATTGAAGTAATCTATCTCATTCTTCTTGCAAGAACATATCCTGTCCAAATATGGGATCCAACAAGGCAACCCTACAAATCTCATTGGACTGAATCACAGTTTAGTAATGGCCTCTCATAGTTTCTGGTTTTGTACTCCAGATAGGTAGGTTTCTAGGCCAAAAGAATGCTGTATTAATCTCAAAAAAGGAGAAGTTTCAGAAAATCTCACTCCCTGCATATCTGCCTGCATGCTGACATCTTTAATTCTTACATTTATATCTTGTTTAAATATGGGGGAAAACACTGGGTCAGTAACTGTCAGCACGTTTCCCAGGCCATTTGTTTGTAGGATAGTATAACTGTTATATAACCATTAGGGATGTGCGAAACAGCACCATTCTGCTTCGACTTCTGTTTTGACATTTTGATGGAACAGTGTTTCGTTTCAAGCGTTGTTTCATTTTGAAAGCACTATTCCGTTTTGTCTTGTCGAAACTGTTTTGCTGTTTCGACACTGTTTCGACATTTTGCCCATAGGCTGTAATGGGGAAGCATGAAACTGCCTATAACTTTGTAATTTCTGGCCTGATTCAGATGAAGCATGCAGGGGTGGTAGCCCCTTCTGAGGCCATGAAGCCTGCCAAGTTTCAAGGAGATAGGTGCAGAGGTTTCTGGGAAACTGCATGTCAAGCTATTGACAAGCAGGAGACAGGGAGCAGGAGGAACCTCCTGTGATCTAGCAGGCAGATCGGGGGTCTGCACCCCTGTGAGGAGTCCAGCACAGTCCCCGCAGCCCTTCTGGGGCTGCAGGCAAACCCTCGATCTGCCTGCCGGATGACAGGAGGCTGCTGCTGCCGGCTGGGGCCTGCGGCAACACCAGTATTCCCAGTGCTGGGTGCAGGCTGCACCCAACACCAGTCCCAGCCTGCAGCAGCAGCCTCCTGTCATCCAGCAGGCAGATCAGGGGCCCACCTGCACCCCTGGGAGGGCTGCAGGAGAGCTGTGCCAGACTCCTCCCATGTGTGCTGGCCTCTGGTCTGCCTGCCAGATCACAGGAAGCTGCTCCTGCCACCTGGGACTGGCACTGGGCACAGCCTGTACCCAGCGTCGGGAAGATTGGTGCTGGACAGCAGCCTCCTGTCATCCGGCAAGCAGATCAGGGGCCTGAACCCCGCAGGAGGAGTCCGGCAGAGCCCCCACAGCCCTCCTGGGGGTGCTAGCGGGCCCCCGATCTGCCTGCCAGATGGCAGAAGGCTGCTGTTGTTGCCTGGGACCAGCTCTGGGTGCAGCCCACACCCAGCGTGGCTCTATGGAGCTGAGCCTGGTGGTGGGAGGTGGAGCGCAGCCCCAGTGCTGCGCTCCACTTCCTGCCACCGAGCTGAGTTTCACTGGTCTGCGAGCCACTGGGAGCTTAGCCTCCCACCACTAGGTTCAGCTCCCAGAGCCTTGCAGCCCCATGGAACTCAGCCTGGTGGTGGGAGGCAGAGCAGAGCGCCAGCTCTGCCTTCCTCCCGCCATTGGGCTGAGCTCCATGGGACTGGCAGAGCCAATCGGAGTACAGCCCAGTGGCAGGAGGTGGGCAGAACCGGCACTGTGCTCTGATTGGCTCTGGCAGCCCCATGGAGCACAGCCCAGTGGCGGGAGGTGGGGAGAGCCAGGGCTGCACTTCCCACCAGACTGAGTCACATGGCGCTCTGGAGCCGCTGAAAGCACAGCCCTGGCTCTCTTCTGCCTGCCAGCATCGGGCTGCTTCGAAACTTGAAGCTTTTCAAAACTTTCAAAAATTTTCGAGTGCCCTCATATCATTTCAAAGCTGTTTCAGTGCTTTTTGTTTCATTTCAGTTTTGCTGTTTTGAACTCAAAATGCATCGAAACATCTTCAAAACGAAACACTCAGCGAAATTTCGCGCAACCCTAATAACCATCTGAATAAGACTATCTGTAAGAGAAGGGGCTTCTAAAATACATTTCTTAGGGTATCTGATTGGGGCACAAGCTCAAATTTTTATCCAATAATTTAGTTTTTAATTGAGCTAAAGTGCTAACATTAAGCAGCCCCATTTCAGAATGCATAAACCTTCCCCCCATCATGGATTTGGAAGAGATAAAAAGTCGCTTATTAAACAAAAAGAACGAACCATGGGGTCATCACCCCAGAATTCTGACCCATACAATAAAATGGACTCTACATTAGATCTATGGTCCTTGAGCACTGCCAGTTGCCATCCTTCTACCAGTCTTGTTGTAAAAGGATAAAATTCAGCCTGTGGCTTCTTTTGACTTAATGCTTACATTTTAATGCATTTATTCCAGCTCAGGTATTTTATTAAAATAAAGTCTAAGTTATATAAATGAGAAGACCATGTCTAATTTCTTTATCTGTAAAAACCATGCTTGTTTCTTCCTTTTGTTCCCAAAAACAGTACCTTAGATTCAGCAGTATTGATTTCCAAGCTATTCAAGGTGTCATAATATTGGAAAGCTTCTAATAACCTTTGGAGGCCTATCTGGGATTATGACGTTAACAGTGCATCACCTGCATAAAGCAAGACAGGGATAGAATCATTCATTATTGTGGGTTCATGGAACTGATTCCCTGTTATCATGTTTTAGCTTATTCAGGAATAGATGAAATTCAGCTGGAGAGAGTTACAAAATAACAATTAGAACATACCAGCTGCTACCCTTTTGAATTTTTCCCCTCTTGAAAAGGCTCCAGATGTAGTTGTGTCCACACCCTAAGTAGCTCCACTGAGAGGCAGTGCTAATTAACCCATGTTTGGGTCTACACAGACTCAGCACCCTTGCTTCTGATCTGGGCAGTAGCATTCACAGAGCTCCTCAGCTTGTTCGACGGTGCTGCTGCCCAGCATAATGAGTTCAGAGTCTAAACACAGCCTTAGATGGTATTGAAAATCTCATTGTCAGATTTTGAATAATGCCTGTATCATACTTTGGGCATGTGACATGAAGTAAAAAGTATTCAGCACAAGTAGCTAGTCATGAATAATAGAAGCAATGGGAAAAAAAGGCTTCCATAGCCCTGAATTAGCCCCTGATATTTTCCCTGGCTTCTTCTGTTTTCCAGTCGGAACTGAATTTGTTTTGTAACCAAGAACACAGTCCCCATTCCAGATTAGATGAATGAAAGTAATTGAAATTCCTTGGCCAACAATTTACCTCTTTGTCTTGTCTTTTTTATACACATGGTGTCACAAGTTTGGTTGAACAAGGATGCTCTGACATACTCAATACTATCTTAGAGGTTTATCTAGGATGATCTACACACAAGATTCAATTTTAATAGCAAAGTCTTTTTTCAACATAACCCTTAAAGTACTTCTAGAGGTCATTTTTGCTTATAAAAAGCAGATTTCTTTTCTCTGAACAGGCTTATTTATTAGGCTAAGAAACATTTGTCAGAGTACTACTTAAAGCGAACAGGAAACTAGGAAGCTGAATTGATATAAGTAGCACTGAGTATGTTCTCATAATGTCAAACAACTTAAAAACTTATCTGGTAAAGGCACCTATTTAAAATAGTAGATAAGCATGTTTTTAGAGAAAAATAAGATCATTATGGTGGTGCATTTATTGATTATATAAAACTAATCAGGCCAATGAAACAGCAGGAGAAATGCACAAAATTGCAACATGAAATTACATTTAAATTGTATTCTAAGTGTTCTATTCTTTGGATTTGTGAACATGCATCATGCAAGATAAGTAGCCTGAAATTATATGATCACTAAAGCATTCTTCTTATTTCTGAACGTTTGCATCTTTTTTTATGCTTGTTTCATTTCTTGTAAGCTTCATTTTCCTGGGCAGGGTTTTTTTCAGTGACAGAGGGTCAGATTTGAAATCTCTGTTTACTCATGAGAATAACACTTCCAAGCAGAATTAAGTAATTTTAGGTGTGACTGCCAGATTTGCCTGAACAGATGTGTGTGCATACATTTTTTGTAAGTGAAGTTTCAAATATTGCGGCTGTGGCTACATGTATAGTCGTCAATGGCTCAATGTCTAACAGGGAGGAAGAACAAGTGGGGTTCCTTATGGCTCTCTCTGGGGTCTAATACACTTTTTGAGATAAGATCACTGAAAGAAACCCAGATGCTTTTGTTATAGACTCTGTTAAAGATTGAACAGTGCTTCACCCTGGGCAAATGTAGATCACATGCTAATGCTAAAGCCTAAGAATGCTTTCCACAAGTGAGAGACTTAGCCATGTTAGTCTGAAGTCAGGAAGAAGGCAGGATAGATTTGCACCATACAGATTAACTAAATCAGAGATG